TATATATATATATATATATATATATATATATATATATATATATATATGTATGTATGTATGTATGTATGTATGAAGGCACTATAAACCCTTCACTCTTGCAATGTTCTAAACAATGTTTCTACTCTAAACACTCTAAAAGAGAACAGCATGTCATGATTTCCAAGTATCTCTGCAGACAAATACAGAAAGCTATCGGGCCACATCTGATTGGACATTAAAACAAGGCGTATCTGGAGGGCCACATCTGATTGGATGAAAACCCCTTCTCGTGATTTCAGCTCTGTGACTCAGCCCCCTTTGCCATCTGCAAGCGCTCTCGGTCACGCCTACTTTTCCGTTGCAGAATGAGATGACACGCGGCAGAAGGAAGCTTCTCCTGCAGCTGTGGGCTGCACATATGTGCAGCAGGTGCTAAATAATTTAAAATAATTATTTTAAATGATTCCATGCCGCGCATGTGGCTCGTCCATTAATCAGCCAATTGCACGCCATGTCCAATCTTATTTTGAAAAACCTTGATAGAGCGAGACCGTGATAAACGAAGCGTGAAGTAGCGACTACTGTACAAATTAACAGGCATGAAAAAAATACTTGAGTTGTGAAAACCCCCAAATCATAGTTTTATTCCAAATGTTACAATCCTTCACTTATCTTTAAAATTTATTTTAGACTAATAGTTTGTTAAATTGTGACACTCTGAAATGGTTTTCATAGTATTAAATAAAACCTGACAGTTCATTTGAATTAATGTCAATGTAGAACTGCAATACGAGTGAGAGGCACGGTCATCGTGCAGCACACCACATGAACTGAGTACACAATAGATGTGACAAGTCAGACTGGGCATTTGGAAATGCACAATTTCTCATTCCACTGACCACAATGGTAATGGATTAGGCCCCACAATGTGGACGGAGAGGACGACAGACAGGGAGAGTATGTGGGTGTCTGGAAGTGAAAAGGAGGGTGAGTCAGGCCAGATCCTCCTGAAGTTCAGTGGCTAAACTTGTCTTCACTTTCATAATCCTGATTACTTCACAGCTCAGTTCATCAACACCCTCAGTTTTCGTATGAATCAGTCATCTGATGTACTCTTTAGTCCCCCACAGCTCTCTGATGACATGATGAGGTAAAATGAGGAACTACATTTTATTCCCAACCCTTCTTCAATTAAAGAAAAAGTGAATTTTAACATTTTATTACATTACCTGTACAAGATATATAACAGACATGATCAAAACATTAACGAGAATAAACAAGAACAAAGGGCACAGTCCACTTGCTTGGGCTTTTACACCATCAGCTGAAGTTTTGCTTATCTTACTAGAGCAATGAGAGTAATGGAAAAGCATCTTTCTCTTCAAAAATATTAAGGACGACTTCACAAACACTTATACAATCTTCAGGCTATGATTAGTCATAAAGCATCACTGAAAAGTGGTTTGCCAGCTGTGAAGAACAAGATCTATATTTAAATCTGAAACGGAATCATCTGACATATAAAATGATCTCTTTTATTTTTCAAATTAAACATATTCAAATGTCAAACTGCGAATTAAACGTTTCAGCTGGACCCAACTTACAGACTTTATGTACAACAGAGGCAACAAAGAAAACACTTAAACCTCCTCCCCACTCTTTTTTCCTTCCAGCAATAAACTGCAAATTCACCCAAGGCAGTTTTCCATACGTCAAAAGGTAATATCTTCAAGCATGTTTGCATTAAAGGCAACACAATAAATAAAACAAATGGCACAGATGGTTTGAACAATCTAAACTGAGAAGCACAACGCCTTGTGAAATATTCACAAGAAACTAAATGCTAAAGCAAGCACGCAGAAATCTTCAGATCCTTCCAGACAGTAACACTTAGCAAACAGAACTGAAACAAACGAATCACAAGCTAATTACAGTGAGGAGTATACCATTTGTAATTGAATATAGTATTTGTATTTACAGGTATTTATACAACGGAGGGCATTAAATGTTGGTTTATTACCATAATAGGATCAGAACAATCAGATCACATAATGCACTAAATACAAACCTTGTAAACATGTCTCACCGTATATCCTCGACATTGATCAGATTGTTTATAGTTGCCAGGTTCATAAAGTATTTGTCCTTACTTTAAGGCATAGGTATCGAGCTTAGGAGTGAGCCTAAGATTTTATTTTAAATAAGCCAGATTTTTGCAGATTTCACTTCAAAAGAGGAAAAAAACTCCCCATAGTGAAAGCGCTAAATATTCTCACTTGTCTTTGAATCGATGCAGGAAACTGTACAGTGATCAGATCTCCTCCACTCCGTGCGCAAAGATCATGACGAGGCCGGGCTCCAGGATCATATCCTCCCCCATATGCTGATTCTCACAGGCCATCACCACCACTGCCTGCTTGCCAGGAATACGCTTGGCAACATAGTTCTCATAGTAGCGTCTGTTCATCTGCCGTGTCTCTAGAGTGGCCAGTCCCTGCGGCCAGTTACGCTCGTGGGCGTTCTCAATCAGGTCGTTCACGATCGAGAGAGGACAGCCGCTGTCGATGAGGGAGCGTTTAATGACCGCCTGCAGCACAGCATCCGGAGTGGAGATCATGCCACCCCAGCGTGTTACTCTGGCTGGCTGCATGGAGTTCACCCACCTGAAGGTATAATTAAATGAAAAGGAGAGAGACATTTTGAAGACTAGCTTGATATTAAAATAACTCCTGAAAGGAAACGGAAACTTCACTCACTCCAGGATCTCGTTGTACTCGATGCTCTCCTCCAGGTTTTGCAGGTTGGGGTTTGCACTGCGGATTGCTCTCATGTAGGCTTTTAGCAGCTGGATATCTCGTTTCTGGACATTAAAAACCACAAAGAAGATTTAAAGAAGATGGACATACTACTGCAGGGCTACTCCACTAAACTGCTCATGGGGTCACAGTTACTGAAAGCCAGCAGCTCAGGGACCGGACATCCAGCGATTAAAGTCATTATGTAAATAAACCAAGTTTTACGATGATCTGTTACCTTTTAAATTTGTTTATTTTATTGCATTGAATCATAAAAGCAATAAACAGAACCCAAAACTCAAACTCAGAACCCCACAAAATAAAAATAATAAAATTTATTTTTTAAATGAAGTCATTGGTGGGCTGGATTGAAGTCACCCATGGGCCAGAAATGGCCCGTGGGCCGCCGGTTGACTAACCCTGTACTACTGCGTTTAACAGAAGTCCATTAAATTTAAATGACTAGTCTGGTAACCACTCTTCATCACTGGCTGTGGTCACTCATTACAATAAAGATCTTGTTCTTATTAAAGCCACTTTTATGAAGATATATTGTAGCAAAATCAATGAGGCTTTATGAATGCATCAAGATAATTTTCAGACAAAACACTTAAACTAATTAACCTATGAACTTTTGTAAAACATGATTATTGAGGACAAGACACAAGAAGTGCTTTCTCTAGCAAAACAATCTTACTTGTTCCCCCAACTGGTGTTTATGTTCTGCCACGGTTTTCTCCAGCTCTGAAATCTTGGTCTGTTGCTGCTGGACGACGCCCCGCAAATGTTTGATGCAGTTATGATTGGGCAGCTCATCTTTGGGCATTTCAAGCCTGAGACACACAAACAGAAAGAACAGGGGAAAATGTAATGAATACAAATGTAACATACCCAGGTACGTGAAAAGAGGGTAGATATCATTAAAAACAATTGAGGCAGCTGTGGCTGAGTAGTTAAAGCAGTCGTCCTCCAATGCAAGAGTTGGGGGTTCGATTCCACCAGCAGTCACATGCCGAAGTGTCCCTGGGCAAGACACTGAAACGATGTGTGTCCCATCGGTACATGAATGTGATAAAGCGCTGATTATTCTTTGTATAGATCTAGTAGAGCGCTGTATGAATGGGTAAATGAGGCAGATTGTAAAGAGCTTTGAAATCTTGATAAGATAGAAAGGCTCTATATAAGCACAGTCCATTTACCATTTATATTGTATATATTTGATTATAGGATTCTGTTTCTGTAAACTCGTCACTGTTGGAGATGTGATATGTGCATCGTCTTCATCATATGTTCCCATATGATGATGAAATCTACACCAAAGTGGAGCAATGGGCAGCTATTTAAGCTGCACAGGAAGCAGTTAAAGAATAGGTGTCTTGCTTAAGGACGCCATGACATAAGGGCATGGCATGTGACTTTCTGGTTTCAAGTCAGCTGCCCACAATATAAGGGGTTTAAGGAAGAACATAGATTTTGTTCTTTCTTTTAAAAGCTAAAAACAAATTTATGGTCAATACAAGCAGTTCTTCTAAAACTCACCCACAGCCCTCCTCACAGTTGATGGGCCTTTTGGGGTTGTGCTCACAGTCCTTGAGGTGTGACTGTAGCTGGTCCAACCTTAGTGTAGCTGTACAGCCAAAGCTTGCATTGTCACAGCTGATTTGAAGTTTGGAAAGCATGTTGCGCATGATGCGGGGCACAGGTCTGAGGTGAGCTAGGGTCACCACTGTGCGGTCAACAGGACAGATCTGTTGCTGGGCAAACCACTGTGTTATACATGCGTTACAGAAGGCATGCTCACAGTGTGGAGCCTGAAATAAAGAATACAATACAAAAGATTAGGACACACCATGGAAACATTACTTGTAGACCATATTTCAGCCAATGCTATAGAAAAGGATACTTGCCTGCACCGGTTCCTCAAGCACTCCACTGCATATAGGACACAGCAGGTCTTCATCAACCTCACCCTGGAATCTTGTAATGTCGTACCCCATGGTACACTACCCACAACCTCCTGAGCAACACAACATACAAACAAACAAATAAATAAATAACATTTTAAAGCAGCTTTAGATCACATGCACAATTGCAGATTGGGTGTACATGTTTGAAGAAAAAAAAAAAAATCACACACATTATACTCTTAAGTAGCTGTAAAGGAGACGTCTGGTTGGTTTTAAGCATGTCAGTAAAGTTTTAGCAAGCAGAGTTGTCTTTCAAGTTGAAGTGATAACATTTATCAGTACAGTCAATTTTACTTTGATCCTCTGCTTTTTCTACTTGATTATTGATTAGTTGTCTTTTTTTCACCTTAGTAACCTAACGGACTACCTTATTAAGTTACCTTTTCTGGCTTTTACCAAAAAATTCTATCAGATTTTACACTGAACATTAATTAGTCTGATTACGCACAACCACTCAGACAGCATGTTCAAAAAGAGTTCAGCATGAAAACAACCCATTGAAGTGGAACTATTATTGCTTAAACTAAGATGATGATAAATCTAGGGCTTGGATATAAGCAACACTAAATTTAAACCTGATTTAGGACAACCGGTGAGTTAAAATAATTATCCACAGTAGGGCTGCACATTATTAGAAAAATCTGTGACAATTGATATTATTGTTTAATACAGCAATGACAATATCAAATATTATAAACCCACTTTATTTCCCCTCACTCCTCACTTTCAAAACTGAAGCCAGATTTGGGCATCAAGGCAGCGTGAGTCTATTGCAGGGGTCACCAACCTTTTTGAGACTTAGAGCTACTCCAGATGGACGGAGTGACACGAAGGGCTACTTGTTTGATAAAAACATAAATTTGCATAACCCACCTTTAATTATAGTATTAATAATAATACATTTGCATATATGTGAATATATAATGATGAATGTTAAGGACTCCTCACAATAATGACGTATAATGGTTTAGCATGGCAGATATGATAAATTATTATTGATAATTAGTGAAAAGAACTCTCAATCGAGAACTCAAATTCTAAGTTTCTTTTGGGCTCTTCTGTGTGACTCTAAATTGCTCCAGGTGTCTGAGAGTGTGGACGGTTGTCTGTCTCCGTCTGTGTCCCTGTGATGGACTGAGGTCTGTCCAGGCTGTCCCTGTCTTCACCCAAAGGTGAAGGTGCCAAAGGCAGCTGAGATAGGCTCCAGCCCCCACCCCGAACCTGATTAGGAACAAAGGGGACCTAATAGATGATTTATTATAACAGTAAACAGATATTTACCATAAAACATTTATTTTATTGTAATCTCAAACATTTGAAATTCAGTGTAGTTTTTTAATACACTGTTTTTGTATTTTTAAATGTAACATTAGTACCGATCCTCAGATCTGCAGTATTTTCTACTGATCATCACACCTTTTACTCTTTTTAAACAAAAATATTTTTCACATTATTCATTGCTTCTATTAAAAAGGAGAGGTTCGGTGTTCTCCAGGAAATTAACTGGTTTAGAGTGGCAAAGTAGGAAGTTGTACTCCCATTAAAGAACACGGATAAAGATATCCAGTTTAGGGTTCATTTATTTGCTGTGTTTCTTCTGGCATTTACACACAGCAGTAAACCAGGAAAGTGTAGGCAAATGCTCGAACAGCAAGGATCTGTCTGTGTCGGAGAGAAAAACTAATACAAGCAGCAGGCATTCTTACACGCAGAGAGTTGCGTTCACTAGCGTCAGACCAGCTATGGTGCATTTAAGAGCATAGGAATTATGAACTTGGATATAAACAAGCTATAACTAAACAGCACTTGGCTCAGTAAACAAGACAATTACACATAAACAATGTGGGCTTTCTAACATCTCTCGAGACCTCCATACGTGAAAATGCTTCATGAAGAAACACTGGTGTTTGCTCAAAGCTGCCTTTAACTTCTGGTGTTTTTCAGCCCATCATGCCCTGATAGGTAGCAAGTTAGCATTAAAGCTAATGTGTTAGCTGGTGAAGTGTTGCTTCACATCGTGGTGAACTGATGTTGCCACAACCGCCCCACAAATGAGACATGCACACATTTGTCTTTCATAACTGTTAAAAAAAACTCTTCCTCCCAATCACTGTGAAAATAATGTTTATTTTAAGCCTTTCTGCCATTTCCCCTCTCCTCAGGGAGGTAAAAATATCTGTGGCTGTGGCGCTCACAGAGATCTCAACAGATCTCCGCATCATTCAGAACTTTGACTCCAGACAATTGCTAAGCTGTGTATACGCAAAACATTTTATTCTAAGTTTTCATTAATTATTTTCATTTCAAATCTACATCCATGCAAATGTTAAATTTAAAACCACATAATTAATGACCATTTATATGCGGTGCTCCTTGATGATGAGTGCTATTTTTAAAACATGCCGCGGGCGACTCACGTGATCCCTGAGGGCGACCAGGTGCCCGCGGCACCGTGTTGGTGACCCCTGGTCTATTGAATTGACCAAATATATCATTGGCATGCAGAACATGAATTCATGATGCTTTAAATAGGACCTTATATTAAATGATCGTGGTTTACCGTGGTTCGTTTGTAATATCGTGCTCACAGATATTGTGACAAAATGATAAGGTTTTGATAAGTTGTGTAGCCCTAATCTACAGCACTGTGGTTCTTGTGTTTACCTCATACACAAAATGTCTGAAATATTTCCATTCAGCTCCTAAGATCGTCTTGATGCTTCACATCTGGCAGAAATAATTAGCCTCCTGAACAAGCAATAAGACACTGCCTGCAAAATAAATGATACAGCAATTTTATGGGCAAATTTTTACATTCATCATTTATGCAAAAAAAAACAATCATCTTCCATATGACACGATTAACACTAAATTGAAGCCTAACTTTATACATTTCAAACTGTTGAGATAGATTATTTTTAAGTTACATATGACTATCTGCAAAACTAAAGGGTGGATTAAAATTGTTGGCACCAATTACAATTTTATCTCTTGAGTAATTAAACACTGCATATATGACAACGCAATCATATGATAATACCAACATGAAACAGTACCCTTGACCTGTAGCTATAATGTCATGTGGACTTGTGCAGCTCCTCCAGGAGAACTACAGCATCTAATGGGGTTTGCTCTCTTAGTTAAATGGTTACTGATGAAAAAAAAACAGTAAGCATGCACTAAAGTTAGCTGAACCTCATCGCTTACTGTTCTTCAAATATGCATGTTATTTGACTTCTGACACTAACTTGTAAAGCCCCAGGACAAGTAACTAGAGTAAACTTGTATAGTGGTGAAAAATTATCCAAATGCTTGACGTGGTATATCAGCAAAGCCTGGTTGTCACGATTTATGAATATGCAACGTTTGCCAACTTGCTACCCGTTAGCAGCTACGCTAACGTCGGCTTCCTCTCTTGAATATTAGCAATAGAGCTAACCAGTCTGAGCTCACTTTGACAAAATTACAATGACAAATATGCGTTTACAGTCAGATACTCTATACGAAATGTGACACTTGACTGATATACTTACTCCAACATTAAGTAAAACAAATCTTTGCAACGATTTTGAGTGTTTTCTGGCGTCGTACCGTTCCTAGCAGCTTGCTAATCACGTCCTGGCCGCTACATCATACATTCCTGCGTCCCCGATACCAAGGAGTGCGTGACGTCATGACGCAGAGGTCGGAAACGGCTTCCCAACTCCAAGGCAAGTGGTGACGTAATGACGCAGAAACAATATAAAATTTCATTCATTCAACCTTTAATTATACAGGTTAGGCTCAGTGAGCCACGAGGACTCATTTACAAGAGAGACCTGTTTTAAACAAAGAACACAGATGAGGTACAAACAACAACAGTCATATAAAAACCATATAAAATGAAAAGTAAATAGAAAAAAATGAAACAAAAACTGCTACATTATAAAGCGGTGTAAAATACTAAAAACAGGAACGTCTACATTGGTTTTTGCTATGAACTTAGCAGCTGTTTAAAATCCCTTAGAGGTCAAGGTCGAGAGCTTCAGATCTTTTTGCAAGATATTCCAGGAAACAGGAGCAGAGTAGGAGAAGGTCCTTTAGCCAAGTTCAGTTCTCACTGAGGGAACACTGCAGGTAATAATGTCCTGAGAGCGCACGCTGTAGCTGCACTCCTGGGTACTAGACTTTTTAACAAACAGACCACAGTTAGTGAGGATCCACAACCTCTCCTCCTCCACCATAACCCTCAGCACTGGCTCTCCTCAGGGATGTGTGTTGAGCCCCCTTCTGTTTACTCTGCTCACATATGATTGTGCAGCTACCCATCCAGGCTGTCACATTGTAAAGTTTGCAGATGATACAGCGGTGGTGGGATGCATCACAAACAATGATGAGTCCAGCTACAGGCAGGAGGTGGAACACCTGGAGAGCTGGTGCAGAGCGAATAACCTTCACATCAATGTGAAGAAGACAAAGGAGATGATTGTGGACTTCAGAAGGAACAAAAACACCTACACCCCCCTGAACATAAGAGGATCTGCGGTGGAAGTGGTCTCCAGCTACAAGTACTTGGGTGTACACATGAATGACAACCTCAGCTGGAGCAACAACACCACCAGCCTGATCAAGAAAGCTCATCAGAGACTCTACTTCCTCAGACGGCTGAGGCGAGCTGGTCTGGGAAGCTCAGTCCTCACCTCCTTCTACAGGTGTGCAGTGGAGAGCATCCTGTGCTCCAGCATCAACGTGTGGCATGGAGGCTGCACAGCTGCAGAAAGAAAAGCTTTGCAGAGAGTGGTGAAGGCTGCACAGAAATCTGTTGGAATCAGTCTCCCCACCATCACAGACATCTACACCTCCAGATGCAGGAAGAGGGCCACCTGCATCATGAAGGACCCCACCCACCCAGCACACACACTTTTTGCCCCACTCCCCTCAGGAAGGAGGTTGAGGAGCATTAAGTGTAGAACCACTAGACTGAGGAACAGCTTCTACCCTGAGGCTGTTAGACTCATGAATCTCTAACTAGAATAATCACTGTGAAAAACCATATCATGTTGCTGCTGATCTGTTTCATGTTGCTGCTGATCTGTTTCAATGTTGATGTGTTCATGCGTGCACATCTGCTCACAGACTCATGTTCATGTTTGTGCTGATGTTCAATGTTTTATGTTATGAGTGCTTAGTGTATATTTAGTTGATGTTTTCTTAGTTCATATCTTAGATGTTATTACTGTTTTTCTTAGACATTTTATTGTTGGATGTAACTGGGACCCCGTGTACATAATTTCGCTCCACCACATGTACCACATGAGGTGCGAATGACAATAAAGAAACTCTGACTCTGACTCTGACTCTGACTCCTGCAGTAACATGTAGGAGATGTATGAAGGCAGCAGACCAAGAAGTGTTTTAAATATGAAAATGTACCAGTGAGAGTCTACGTGAAGTTAATGATGACCAGTTAACCAGTGAATACACAGTGCAGTGATGGGTACGGTAGTTACAGCTGTAACTACCATGCACCGTGATAGACAGTGTCCAACATCTGCAGGGTGCTAGCAGGAGAGTTCACGTAAATAATGTCACCAGAGTCAATGGAGGGAAGGAAAGTTGCAATTACAAGGCATTTCCTAACATTCAGAGTTAGACAAGATCTATTTCTGAAAAAGAAACCCAATTTAACTTTCAGTTTCTTTACCAAGTTTTCAACATGAGGTTTAAAAAAAGAGATGCAAATCGACCAAAATACCCAAGTATTTGTAGGAATCAACAAACTCAATAGAATCTCCATTCAAAGGTAAGATAGAAGGAAGAACTGCTGGAACGGACTTCCTGTTTGAAAACAACATCCCTTTGGTTTTATGTGCATTTAGCAAAAGACTGAGACAGAACAAATCTGACAGGATGATGTCAAAAGCAGACTAAAATATAAATCGAAAAAATTTATGTAAACTGCAGCTTAAATTTTATTTTAGCTTGGCGTGTGCATGACATGTGCATGATCTTAAATGCTAGCTACAAGTCCATAAAAATAAAAATTAGTAATAAAAAATTGCAAATGTCTACTTTTAAATATCTCTTCAGAGGATACTTTGGTGCTACAAGGAAAAAATAATTTTGACATCTTTTAACACTTAATCGAACAAAAACATTTAATCTTTGTAACCAGCAGCTACATAAAACAGCTATAATTTGTTTTTGTTGTTGTTGTTGTTGTTATTGCTAAATTCACTATTTTATTTAGATAAAACACTAAATTATCCCAAGTACTTTTTATGATAAAAAAGGTTTTTAGTCATGTACCAAAGGGAAACCTATCCTAAAGCAAGCCTGTAGAACTATTGCTCAAAAACACAATGTATATTTTGTAATATTTTTACAGTACTTTGACGCACAATGGAACTTTAGAAGTACTTTGTGTTTGTGATACAACTACAGGTCCTTCTCAAAAAATTAGCATATTGTGATAAAGGTCATTATTTTCCATAATGTAATGATAAAAATGAAACTTTCATATATTTCAGATTCATTGCACACCAACTGAAATATTTCAGGTCTTTAATTGTTTTAATACTGATGATTATGGCATACAGCTCATGAAAACCCAAAATGCCTGTCCCAAAAAATTAGCATATCATGAAAAGGTTCTCTAAACAAGCTATTAACCTAACCATCTGAATCAACGACATAACTCTAAACACCTGCAAAAGATTCCTGAGGCTTTTAAAAACTCCCAGCCTTTTTCATTACTCAAAACCACAATCATGGGTAAGACTGCCGACCTGACTGCTGTCCAGAAGGCCATCATTGACACCCTGAAGCAAGAGGGTAAGACACGGAAAGAAATTGCTGAACGAATAGGCTGTTCCCAGAGTGCTGTATCAAGGCACCTCAGTGGGAAGTCTGTGGGAAGGGAAAAGTGTGGCAGAAAACGCTGCACAACGAGAAGAGGTGACCGGACCCTGAGGAGGATTGTGGAGAAGGGACGATTCCAGACCTTGGGGGACCTGCGGAAGCAGTGGACTGAGTCTGGAGTAGAAACATCCAGAGCCACCGTGCACAGGCGTGTGCAGGAAATGGGCTACAGGTGCCGCATTCCCCAGGTCAAGCCACTTTTGAACCAGAAACAGCAGCAGAAGCGCCTGACCTGGGCTACAGAGAAGCAGCACTGGACTGTTGCTCAGTGGTCCAAAGTACTTTTTTCGGATGAAAGCAAATTTTGCATGTCATTCGGAAATCAAGGTGCCAGAGTCTGGAGGAAGACTGGGGAGAAGGAAATGCCAAAATGCCAGAAGTCCAGTGTGAAGCACCCACAGTCAGCGATGGTCTGGGGTGCCACGTCAGCTACTGGTGTTGGTCCACTGTGTTTTATCAAGGGCAGGGTCAATGCAGCTAGCTATCAGGAGATTTTGGAGCACTTCATGCTTCCATCTGCTGAAAAGCTTTATGGAGATGAAGATTTCATTTTTCAGCACGACCTGGCACCTGCTCACAGTGCCAAAACCACTGGTAAATGGTTTACTGACCATGGTATTACTGTGCTCAATTGGCCTGCCAACTCTCCTGACCTGAACCACATAGAGAACCTGTGGGATATTGTGAAGAGAAAGTTGAGAGACGCAAGACCCAACACTCTGGATGAGCTTAAGGCCGCTATCGAAGCATCCTGGGCCTCCATAACACCTCAGCAGTGCCACAGGCTGATTGCCTCCATGCCACGCCGCACTGAAGCAGTCATTCATGCAAAAGGATTCCCGACCAAGTATTGAGTGCATAACTGAACATGAGTATTTGAAGGTTGGCGTTTTTTGTATTAAAAACACTTGTCTTTCATTGGTGGGATGAAATATGCTAATTTTTTGGGACAGGCATTTTGGGTTTTCATGAGCTGTATGCCATAATCATCAGTATTAAAACAATTAAAGACCTGAAATATTTCAGTTGGTGTGCAATCAATCTGAAATATATGGAAGTTTCATTTTTATCATTACATTATGGAAAATAATGACCTTTATCACAATATGCTAATTTTTTGAGAATGACCTGTACATGACAAGTATGTAAGTGAAGAGGAAGGAAATCAAGTGCTGCAGAGAGCGTGCTCCATGTAGAGAATGAGGAACTGGTTCTGCAGAAGGAACCTTTATTTATACAGAACATGAGTTTAAACACTAATGACTCGCTCACAGGTATTCATAGATAAAGCCAACCACAGTGAATACAAAGATGTATTTCACTTTTGCATTTAATCTTTTTTGGTAATTCTGTTATTCAACTATTGTGTGAACTTTTGTGAGTTTCATTGGTTCAATATTACCGATATGTTCTTGTCTTTGTTGATTGTTCCACAAGACAGGCATGTTTGGGAAATACATTTCAGTAAACAGATAAATACTTTAACTTATTGCCACTAAACTTATCACTTCACCACTTGCTTTTGCCGAGGTCAGACGTTTTTTCCCTCCCCTCCCTCTCCGCTTTGCTGCTCTGTCCGTCTGTGAAACTGCTTCTGAGCCTCTCTTGCATATCTTCTGAACCATAATTATGGACTTGATTTGATCAGTTGGTCCCTCAACTCAATTTACAACATTTCTTCGAAGAGGAGACAGGCTTTAGGCGAGCCGATTTGCCCTGTTTGCATGCACGCAGCTAGATATCTCATTGAC